ATGAGAAGATTGCATGAAAATAAGAATTACTTAAAGATAAACAAAGAGAGAAAAAAAAAAAAGATTGAGGCATGACTGTTCTATAATTTCGATTTTTTTTCTCCTAAAGTTCAGATCTTCCCCTGATACTGGCGCCTCATTCTGGGTGTTAGAGTGGCGACTTTAAGTACCATATTTTGAGTGGCTATATTTAATATTAAAATATACAATAAAATAATACTTCCATGCAAACAATTCCTAGTTGATTAAAGTCTCGCTACCCCCAGGAAAGATGGTGCCCCCGTATCTATGTTAACAATCTCGTTACAGTTTCTCTTTCCATCAACCATCCAGCTTGTGCTACGTCTAAGCGTCACGTAATTAAACATGCCGTGCAAACCCTTCATAATAGTCTAACGGTCCATTACAATAGTGTTTACAGGTACTTTAACAATGTTTTGACACTGCCAATAAAGGTACATTGTTTTACTCGCATATATGTTGAGGACATTAATGTCGAAATATCCCTCTGCTTATACCAGCGTCTCGTTTTTTTTAATCACTATAAGAAATTGTGAATCATATGTCGTGCTGGACATGAAGGCAATTTGGAGATATGGTTAACGGATATTGCAAGCAAGATCGAGCCTAGTATAGATCCTCATGGGACACCGAATACCCGAAAGATGCTAATTGTATTGTTGATATATTCTCGTGAATTTTGACTGATTGTGTTCTATTGGTTAAGTAACTTTTGAAGTTACTTAGCCTATATATATATGTGTGTGTGTGTGTGTGTGTGTGTGTGTGTGTGTGTGTGTGTGTGTGTGTGTGTGTGTGTGTGTGTGTGTGTGTGTGTATACATACATATATATATATATATATATATATATATATATATATATATATATATATATATATATATATATATATATATATGTATGTATGTATGTATCTGTATATACATACATCTGACAAATCATATTTCTTAATAAGTTTTTCGTAAATTTCAACATGGACACACGGTATATATATTTTTCATTAGGGTTGTCCTGTTCTTCGTTATCTATTCTTGTTTTTGACTACTGTTTTTCCGTCTTTCTTTCTTTCTATCCTTTTCTTTGGTCCCCTTTCTACATTGCTCATGGTTTCATTTATGTTTTTACGTGGTGATTGTTATGTCACCTGCGTATATTAATGTACTAAATTCTTCCGTCTGTTTTGATGTAGATGTCATATATATTTCATATCGTTGTGTTTACTGATGAGTCTTGGGGGACTCCACTTAACACTGCACCCTTTAGTAAATTTCGGTTGCAAATCTTTATTTAGAATATTCCTTTTCTCTTTTTAGAAGACTATGAATCCAACATAGCGATTTCCCCTTTAATCCATGACTTAATTTTTTTTTTTTTTTTGTCACTAAAGCATTATCAGCTGTGTCTGTACATGCTACTAGAGCATATTTTATCATGGCATTAATCGTTTATTTCTACTTTAGTGCATTTATGGTACTGCAGTTTAGTCTATTTATTTTCATTTCTGTTTTTAATAGACAGAGCTTCATTACAAAAAAAAATGGGAGAGAGTCAGTGTTGTCCAGGATGATGAGGAGGCAGGAGGCGAGGAGAGAACCACGGGAGGAGAGTCATTCGAAGCCAAACACAGGAGAAGGAAGCAAGGAAGAGAAGAGAACCAGAAGGAGGAGAGGGAAGCCAAGGGCAGGAAAGGGACGCAAGGAAAGAGAAGCAAGGAAGTGGGAGGAAAACAACGGGGGGGAAGCCAAAGGGAGGAGAGGGACGCAGGAAAAGGGATGCAAGGGTAGGAGAGGGACGCAAGGAAAGAAAAGCAAGGAAAGGGAAAGAAAGCCAGGGGGAGGAGAGGGACGCAAGGAAAGGGAAGCCAAGGAAGGAAAGAGAAGCAAGGAGGAAAGGGAAGGAAAGCCAGGGGGAGGAGAGGGACGCAAGGAAAGAGAAGCAAGGAGGAGAGGGAAGGAAAGCCAGGGGGAGGAGAGGGACGCAAGGAAAGAGAAGCAAGGAGGAGAGGGAAGGAAAGCCAGGGGGAGGAGAGGGACGCAAGGAAAGAGAAGCAAGGAGGAAAGGGAAGGAAAGCCAGGGGGAGGAGAGGGACGAAAGGAAAGAAAAGCAAGGAGGAAAGGGAAGGAAAGCCAGGGGGGGAAAGCCAGAGGGAGGAGAGGGACGCAAGGGGAGGAAAGCTAAGAGGAGGAGAGGGACCCAAAGGGGGGAATGCTAAGAAGAGGAGAGGGAAACAAGGAAAGGGAGGCGAAGGGAGGAAAGGGAAGCAAGGAAAGGGAAGGAAAGCCAGGGGGAGAAGAGGGACGCAAGGAAAGGGAAGCCAAGAGAGGAAAGGGAACCGAGGGAAGGAAAGGGAAGCCAAGAGAGGAAAGGGAACCGAGGGAAGGAAAGGGAAGCCAGGGGGAGGAGAGGAAATATACATTTTTCAAGAGACATATGTGGATATACCTCCTGACCAACTCGAAGGCAAGTTTCTTCAATTGATG